GCGCTCTTGCCCCACTCGTCCCCACGAGGGACCCCCACCCCCCCACCACGTGGGACGTCAACCGATCGCAAGTTCGGGATCCGAGGGTCGAGTCTTTCGAACGTGTTCGCTGGTTCCAGGAGCTTTTCCTGCCTCCAGGTGCTTTCCAGCAGCTGCGCCTCTCCGAGAGCGTTCCAGGGGTGCCCGAATTGTCTCGAACAGCCGCCGGGGAGCTGAGATATGATCCGGAAGCCAGACGTCACCTCGCAGTGAAACACCTAGACGGAAGGTTTAGGGGTATTTTTCTGCCTCTGGGAGCCCTCGCCGGGCCCGGCTCGGGGACAATCATTAAATTACCCGGGGCGGAAAACTCATCCCGGGGAAGGGGTCCAGATCTCCGGGGGTTTACCTTGTGAGGGGATCACGACGTCGGGTCCAGGATTTGCGGATGTTCCCCCACGGCCTAGAAAGGAAGGCGTATATACACGTCAATCGTTGGTCAAGTCTTGATCCAGCCAGAGTCGATCCGTGCGGTCAGCAATCGCCACCCGGTGGTACGGATGAATCTCTCCTTCTGCCTTCCTCCTCATTTCCCCATCCCCGCTTACGTGCGCATCAGTGGCTCTGTGAATCTTCTCACTCTCATTCCCCGCATCCTCCTCCCTCCTTCTCTTCCTTTTTCGCATTATCCTCCCTCCTCTTCCTGATCCTCCTCCTCCTCCTGCTCCTCCTCCTCCTCCTCCTCCTCCCCCTCCTCCTCCTCTCCCTCCCCCTCCTTTTTGGGGTTGAGCGCATTTCAATATCCTCCTCCTCCTCCTTTTCCGCATCATCCCCCGCCCTCCCGCTCTCTCTCCAGCTCGGCCTCCTCCCCCTGGCCATCGTCGTCGCCGCTGGCGCCGCCAGCGCCGTCAGCGACGGCTGCGGCGCCCCCAGCCGTGTCGGCACCGGCGCCAGGCCGCCGAGACCGCCCGCCGCCGCGGCGGCCGCGCAGCCGCGGCGATGCGCCCCGCCCGCGCGCGCGGCCGCCGCCGCGGCCGCGCAGCCGCGGCGGCGCCGCGGCCGCCGCGCCGGAGGCCGCCGCGGGCGGCCCCGAGCCGCCGCCGTTCGCGAGGCACCGGAGTCGGTTGTAGCTAGGAGTTCAGGGGCAACGATAGGGGGGATAGGCACAGGGGGGGATGCATCGACCCCCAATCGCCCATCGATCGCCGCTAGGGGCCCGATAGCCCCAACCTGCCCGGGAAGGCGCGGACTCACGATCGGAGCTTTATCGCCGATCTATCGGCGATGTGTCGCCGATTCCAGGTTGATGCATCCCTCCCTATGCTAGGCGCCACCTATCGTTGCCCCTCAGAAGTGCCCTTGGCCCAAGATGCCCCTGGGATTTCCAGGGAGGCCCCCACGGCCTCCAGAGCACACCTCACGAGGCCCAAAGGGCCCCAGGGGCTCCAAAATGGAGCGGACGCTGGGGGCACCTTGGGCCAGGGGCATGTTTAGCAACACCCGACGGAGGACGACGGAACTCCCCAGACCTCCTCCGATACGATTTGGAAATCCGCGGCCCCAGACTCGGGGAACGAACCTTGACATAGACATAAAGACTTGAAGGTCCGCGCGGATTCCTCGGATCGGCGCTGGACCCCCCTGGCGGGGCCTCGGGCGCCGCCCCTGGCGCGCTCCTTGCGCCGGGGAGGGGGGTCCAGCGCGGATCCGAGAAATCCGCGCGGACCTCCGAGTTTTCATGTTTATGTCATTTTTCGGTTCCCTAATCCTCCGATGCGATTTTTTCAATCCGCGGCCCCAGAGCACCCGACCCTTTCCCTGGGGGTAGTGTTGCGTCCCGGGTAGGCTGTTCGATGGTCCTGGGGCCCGACAACGGGCCCCGGAGGCCGACATTCTGGAGCCGCGCCTGGATTGGGATGGAACTACAGGCCTCGCCTCGGCTGCCCGGATGCGCACGTGTTGAAACGCAGCACGTGCGGCTACACGTGAGAGTGACCTTTCGCCAGGGTGACCCTTGGTGCGGGCCCAATGGGGCCTCCCGATGGCTGAATGCGATGCCATAGCAGCAACTTGCGTGCCTGATGGTGACCCCGAAGACCCCCCCTTGGGCCGCGCACCAAAGGTCACTCTTGCCTAAGGTCACTCTTGCGTGCAATCGATGAGGTCGGAGTGGGGGTCGGGGGATCGGAGTGGGGGTCGGAGGATCACGCCGCATCGCCGATGCATCGGCGATGCGCCTCGATGTGGAGCCCGATCTTCTCCACGCCGACGCCGCCGACGCCGAGGGCGATGGAACTTGGAGTCGGCCGGGGGTCTGAGGTGGCCAAGCGCTGGGTCGGGCCAGCAGCCAGCAGGAAGCGGGGCCAGGTTCGAGGTTCTGGGCTCGGGAACAACAAGTTTATTTGTCTTTTTCGGTCTCTGGGGGCCATTTTCGGGCCTAGGGGTCCTTACAAAAGGCTCTGGGGTGAAAAACTACACCAGCCAATTGTGAGCGGATTTGGCCTCGTCGGCGGCAGGTGCAGGGGGGATAAGCATCGACTGATGGGTCTCTGTTCCACCACCACCACCAGAAGTCGGAGGGAGGAAGGAGGTGGAGAATGAGGAAGAGGAGGAGGAGGTGGTGGAGGAGGAGGAGGAGGAGGAGGAGGAGGAGGAGGAGGAGGACCCCCTCCCACTCTTACTTCTGGTGGCGGCGGTGGAAAACAAGCCCACCGACCTCCAGTCGCCCATTCACCGCCGATAGGGGCCCGATAGCCCGCCACGTCCAGGACCGTCCGGTTTCGCGCTCGGGGGCCCAACTCGCCGATCTATCGGCGATGCATCGCCGATTCCAGCTCGGTGTTTCCCTCCCCTGAGCCGGTCCCTCCCCTAATGACCCCCCTCCCTGCAGGATGTTTGGCTAAAGGCGGTTCTGTCCACTCCCGAGGGAGGCCGTAGGTCGAAACATTCTCCATTCGTTACCTAACAGCGAAGACTGATAGGTTTCTAGTGGTCTCAAAAGAGAGCATCATGACTCCCCAGGGGGGTCTGGGCAGATGCCGGACGGGTGCCGGGGAGAATCCGCGGAAGTCGTTTTAAGCAAACAGTTACACACTTCGTGGTCTTCGAGGTCCCAGAACTCCATTCCTGAGCATGATTTTGAATGCCCGGAGCCAACTGTAGGCCACTTCGTGGTCTTCGAATTCCCAGAACTCCATTCCCGGGCCACGTTCTGAATGCCCGGAGCCAACTGTAGGCCGCTTCGTGCTCTTCGAGTTCCCAGAACTCCATTCCCGGGCCACATTTTGAATGCCCGGAGCCAACTGTAGGCCACTTCGTGGTCTTCGAATTCCCAAAACTCCAGTCCTGGGCATGATTTCGAGTGCCCGGAGCCAACTGTAGGCCACTTCGTGTTCTTCGAGTTCCCAGAACTCCATTCCCGGGCCACATTTTGAATGCTGAGGCAGGCTGAGGCTGAGGCTGAGGCTGAGGCCGAGGCTGAGGCAGGCTGAGGCTGAGTCCGAGGCTGAAGGCAGACTGAGGCTGAGGCTGACGCAGGCTGAGGCTGAGGCTGAGGCAGGCTGAGGCTGAGGCAGGCTGAGGCTGAGGCTGAGGCTGAAGGCAGGCTGAGGCTGAGGCCGAGGCTGAAGGCAGACTGAGGCTGAGGCTGAAGCAGGCTGAGGCTGAGGCTGAGGCAGGCTGAGGCTGAGGCTGAGGCAGGCTGAGCTGAGGCTGAGGCTGAGGCTGAGGCTGATGCAGGCTGAGGCTGAGGCAGGCTGAGGCTGAGGCCGAGGCTGAAGGCAGACTGAGGCTGAGGCTGAAGCAGGCTGAGGCTGAGGCTGAGGCAGGCTGAGGCTGAGGCTGAGGCAGGCTGATGCTGAGGCAGGCTGAGGCTGAGGCTGAGGCTGATGCAGGCTGAGGCTGAGGCAGGCTGAGGCTGCGGCCGAGGCTGAAGGCAGACTGAGGCTGAGGCTGAAGCAGGCTGAGGCTGAGGCTGAGGCAGGCTGAGGCTGAGGCTGAGGCAGGCTGATGCTGAGGCAGGCTGAGGCTGAGGCTGAGGCTGATGCAGGCTGAGGCTGAGGCAGGCTGAGGCTGAGGCCGAGGCTGAAGGCAGATGAGGCTGAGGCTGAAGCAGGCTGAGGCTGAGGCTGAGGCAGGCTGAGGCTGAGGCAGGCTGAGGCTGAGGCTGAGGCTGAGGCTGAGGCTGAGGGCTGAGGCTGAGGCAGGCTGAGGCTGAGGCCGAGGCTGAGCTGAAGGCTGAGGCTGAGGCTGAGGCTGAGGCTGAGGCTGAGCAGGCTGAGGCTGAGGCAGGCTGAGGCTGAGGCTGAGGCTGAAGGCTGAGGCTGAGCAGGCTGAGGCTGAGGCTGAGGCAGGCTGAGGCTGAGGCAGGCTGATGCTGAGGCTGAGGCAGGCTGAGGCTGAGGCTGTGACTGCGACTGCCGTTGCCACTACGACTGTCATCGCGAATGCGACTACGACTGCGAGAGCAGCAGAATTCTACAACTGGACTCTCATCTGAATCTTAAGGGGAGTGCTTCCAGATATGCTCCTACACATCGCTGTTAGGTTGCTTTGCCAGGATACTTTTTTTTGGTTGCTCTCTCTCTCTTTCTCTCTTTCTCTCTCTCTCTCTCGAGGTGGAATGCTCAAATCCCAGTCAGCAATGCCCGGTTTTAGGGCCCTGATGTTCAAAACAGGGTGGGCTTGCTCAAGGGATCTGGTCAGGTCTGATCCCGAGTCGTTTTCAGGGAAGTCGACGGCACGCAGACGGGGGCACGCCTTCTGAGAAGGCGGCTGGGCTTCTCAGAGGCTCTCGGGCCTCCCCGGGAGTCCTCCGGCTGCGGAGCTCGGAAGCATGCTCAGAAGGCGGGGGGGGGCTTCCGAGCTCTCTGGGGAGGCCCGCCCCCTCCGCCTTCCCCCCCCCCGTGGGCGCGCCGCCCAGCGCCCGTGGGGAGTCTTGTCCACCCCCGGAGGAAGCCGCCGCCGCGCCCCGCGGCGTCGCCCGTCCGCGAGGAGGCGGCGGCGAGGCACGTGGAGTGGAGGCCGCGGGGGTGGCTCGGGGGCAACGGAGCTGGGCGCCCCGGCGCGGACGGCCGAACGACCCCTTCAGCGGGGCACCCTGGCAACACGGTTGCCGCCGCAAAAACTGTCGGTTTAACGCTGGCGCCGGCAGCGGGGAGGGGGACGGGACTCCATCCGAGGGGGCCAGCATGCTTGTCTGCAGCGCCAGCGGTCGCCAACGCGTCCGAGAGTGGGCGGGGCGCGCCGCACTGCAGCACACTGCGGCTGGGCCGCTGAAGACGGAACCCTTCTCGTTGGGGAGGGGCTCGGTGTTCCATACCTGCTCTAGTTTTGCACGGTTTGTCTGAGGTGCTCCCTCGGTTTTCTATGGGGAGTCGAAGTTGAACGTATGGATGGGTTCCGTAAGGGACAAAAGAGGCCTCGTTCCTTATTTGGGGTTTCCTTAGGGTGATGGAATCCTTCGGTTTTCTATGCAGAAGAAGGGCCTCGTTCCTCATTTCGGGTTCCTCAGGACAGCGCTTCGGCTGTACACTGCAGGTGGCAGAGAGGAGGGCGGCCGCGAAGGGGCGCCTCACGCCGCAGAGAGAGCCTGCGGCGCGAGGAGCGCGTAGGCGGCCTCCGGCACTGGACGCCGGTGTACGCCCAGGCAGGGCAAGTACGATCAGGGGCAGCGATAGGGCTAAGTCGGGCATGTCCCTCAACAGGGGGAATGTTCGAGAACAGTCAAACATCGTCTTGGGACGATGTTTCTATTATGTTTGACTATTGTTGAGCATTTTGAGGTATGTTCGCTGTTTCCCTCCACATCCGCCTGCAGGGGGACATGCCCGACCTAACGGTAGGGGGGGATAGGCATAGGGGGGGGCGCATCGACCCCCACTCGCCCATTGATCACCGACAGGGACCCGATGGCCTGAACCTGCCCAGGAACGAGCGGATTCACGATCGGGGCCCTATCGCCGATCTATCGGCGACGTATCGCCGATTGCAGGTGGATGTCCCCCCCTATGCCAGCCCCCCCTGTCGTTGCCCCTCAAAGTATGAGGTGCTGCAGGGGGGTTGCGCTGGGACCATCGAGAGGGAAGCCATCGTCGAATGGGCAAGGGGCAAAATGCCGATGAGAGCCAGGACCTTCAGAGGTCGTCATCGGGGACTGTCTATCGAAGACGCCTACGGCGAACCACCGCCGCCCCCTGCCTTTTTGGAAGCGCCTGCGTGGCCGAAACTTGGGTTTGAGTTTGGCCGAGCTATCGGGCCACGGGTTCCCCGAGTGGGTTTCGAAAGCCTTCGGGGAACACGGAGTCGGGCGAACTATCGGACCAGGTGGCTTCCGAGCTTTCGGGCCTCGTGGAGGACGTCTTGGAGGGGTTTTGGGCCGTCCTGGAGGCCTCTGGCGGGCCTTTTGGGCAGTCTAAGACCATCTTCAGGCCATCTAGAGCAGTCTTGGGTGCATCTTCGGGCCATCTTCGCCGTCTTGGAGGCCTTCTTGGCCGTCTTGGAGGCATCTTGGAGGCCATCTTGGCCGTCTTGGAAGCCATCTTGGGCGTCTTGGGGGCCTCTTGTGCCGTCCTGGGGCCTTGTTGGGGCCGTCTTGGGGGCCTTTTTGGGGCTGTCGTGAGGCCATCTTGGAGGCCTCTTGGGCGCTCTTGGGGCGATGTTGGGAGCCGCTTAGGCCGTCATGGGCCGTCGGAAAGCTGAAAAGGAGCAAAAACCACAACCCTTGAAACACCTACGGCAATTCAATGATTGTGGCCCTTTCGGGCATTCCTGGAGGACGTCTTGGAGGGCTCTGGGACTGTCTTGGAGTCCTCTTGCGGGCCTACAGGCCATCTTGGGCCGTTTTGGGTGCATCCTCGGGCCATCTTAGCCGTCTTGACGGCCATCTTGGGCGTCTTGGAGGCATCTAGGAGGCCATTTTGGCCGTCTTGGAAACCATCTTGGGCGTCTCGGGGGCCTCTTGTGCCGTCCTGGGGCCTTGTTGGGGCCGTCTTGGGGGCCTTTTTTGGGTTGTCATGGGGCCATTTTGGAGGCCTCTTGGGCGCTCTTTGGGCGATGTTGGGGGCCACTTGGGACGTCTTGGGCCGTCGGAGAGCTGAAAAGGAGCAAAAACCACAACCCTTCAAAAACCGAAGGTTCCTAAATGATTTAAACCCTGTCGGGCCTTCCTGAAGGACGTCTTGGAGGGCTCTCGGGCCGTCTTGGAGGCCTCTTGCGGGCCTTTGGGGCAGTCTTAGGCCGTCTTCAGGCCATCTTGGGCATCTGGTATCGGCGAACAGCGGCAACGATACATTCGCGTTGCCTTCGAGTCCAGCTTCTCGGACGCACTGGCGGCCGCGCAGTGGCTGTGGCCCCCGCTGGGCGCACTGGCTCTGTAAGCCTACCGACGCTGGACTGAACGTCGCCTTCTGGAAGGCGCGGGCGCTCCGCAAAGCGTTCGGCCAGCGCCAACAAGACAAGCCCTTCTAGTCCTTTTATGCCGGCGCGCCTTTTTCTCCCTCCGGGAAACCTGCCCGGCGGCATGGGCTTCCTCGCCCCCTTCCACGAGGCCGGGCGGCGCCGCCCGCTCGATGAGCGCCCTCTGCGGTCCCTCGCAGGAGTCGTTTCTGGGCGAGCAGCTGGGGCAAGAATCGCGGGCGCCACCATAGCGCGTGACGTCGTAATTCTGCGCGCCCAGAACCGCGGCCTCCCGGCGAGCGGCCGCGAAGCCATTCGACACCGCTGGCATCAACTACGAGCTCATGCAACGGCGGACCCGTTGAAGCGGTCGTTCGTAATGCTCGGTGACTTCAACGCATCTGAGACCCCGCCCAAGAGCCCCCTCGACGCAGCGCAACCAGTGCCAGCCACTTTTCTAGAATAACCTGTTCCCGAACATGCTCGAGGTCACTGCCCCGTCGACCGCTCGCCGCAGCTTCGCGAGCACGAAGGCATCCACGATTGATTGTTGCTAAATTTTTATGACCGCCCCCACTCCGCGCCGACGGTGGAGACGTCCCCCAGTGCGGATGGTGCCCCATCTGGAAGGCCCAGATGGCGGGATCGGCGACCGCGAGATCAAGCAGCTGCACGTCCGTCTGCCCGCCGACGTCCTCAACGCGAACGCGCCGCCCAGCCATCATCTTCGGATCTCCGCGCTACGTTTGCCGCCGAGATGAGATTGCGAACTCCCGCTTGATTCTCCATCTCTCTGCGATTGACCAGCGGCGCTCCATGACAACCATGGCGCGCGGGTCTGCGAGAGGGGCCACAGACGCCTCGGCCGCCGCCCCCGCGGCAGAGCTCACCAGCCAGCGCGGGGACGTCTCGGAGGAGGTTCGCGGCGTGACCCTCCGCGGCGTCGCCCAGGCCGGTCGGCGCCAAGACGCCCCCGTCCCCTGGCCAAGAAGCCGATCGCGCGCGCTGAGATGGGCTGCGAGCATTTCCTTCTACAGGGCAAAGCGGTCGCGCTCAATGACGCGCCAGCCTTCGCCAACGAGACGGACGCCACCCGCGCGGGCCCCAGCGAGGAGCGCCTTGCTCGAGCTGCCGCGCGATTCCAAGCCGCCCATGTTCGACGCCAACTTGCTCCTGGCGGTCGGTGAAGACAGCGCGCGTGCCGCGTCTGTCGCAGAGGGGAGCAATGGAAGCCGCCCCCTCGCCGCCTGATCCTCGCGGGCATCGAGATCGCCGCCGGCAGCCGCCAGACCGCCATCGCGGAGACGAGCCGGATGCACGCGGCCAGCTTCAACCCTTGGGCCCCGGCCCCCCAAGCCAAGCGTGCCTCCGAAAACCCAGCCGCGGACTGCCTGAATGGCGTCTTCCCGCAGCGGCCCCGTCTTGACCTGCCCCTGCCGGGTGGGGGCGATTTGCAGCTTGCTGCTCGCCTTGCTGGGGGCTCTGCTCACGCTCCAGCGGTCTTCCTTATCGGGCTCGCGACGCTGTGTCGCCGCGTCATCACTGCGGGTGCGCCGAGCGATATTAACCGCGCGACGATGACGACAATGCCGATAGGGGGCGAACCCTCGGGGAACGTCGGGCGCGAGTGTTGCGACTTCTCAGCATGAAGATCACGGGCGTCAAGATTCTCGCTTCCACCACAAACAGAGTGCTTGACACGGTGGCGTCCAAGACCGCCGCAGAGCAGCAGGGTTTCGTCGTGGCCGCCAATTCCTGATCAACGCTGTCACGGTCGACGCTGTTGCTCGCGGGTCCCGCCTTTCGCCAGGCGCCGCGGAGCGCGCGCCCGTCTTTGCCTCCATGGACATTGCTGCGGCCTTCCCATCTTTGAACTGGCAATGGATGCGGGCTGTCATCGAGTGCCGGGGACTCCGCGGCGACGCGATGTAGTTGCTCGAAGCCTTCAGAATTCACGCACTTTCCCACCTATCGCCTGGGCCCCCCTCCGCCCGCCGCCGTGCGACGGCTCGGTGGCGGCGCGGGGCAGCCCGCTCTGCGGCGCCGTCTGGGAGGTAATCTTTGACTCCGCGGTTCGCGCCCTGGCTGCTGACCTTCGCGCTATCCGACGCGGGCTACTCAGCGCGTGCGCCGACGACCTCGGGATCACCTTGGCGGGGCTCGCAGATATCGAGCACTTGGTCCCGCACTTGCTTGCCGCTGACTCCCTCGCTGAACTTTATTTCCAAGCCAAGAAATACACCGTCGTCCCGGCGCGGACGCCCGCCGCCCCTGTCGGACCTCCGCGCGCGCGACGCTCTTCAAGCCACGCATGATCCATGAGGAAGAGCTCTAATTGAGGGCGAGGCCCGCAACTTGGAATTGCCCATCGGTCATGGCGCCGACCTGCGCGATCCACGGCGTGGTCCCGCGTCCACGTGGCGGGGGCGAATTCTGAAGCTCGCCGACTTCCGCGCTCCCGCGCAACGAAGTTCCAAGATCTTCGACATCGCCACCGTCTCCTTCCTGACCGACGCGGGCCAGCTGTCCGAGCCCACCCCCCGACCATTTTCGCGAAGGAGCAGCAGGGCATTCGAAAGCTGCTGAGGGCGGCCCCGAACAGCTTCTCCAAGTCCGGCATCTTCGG